ACCAGACTCGAACTCGTATAACGGTTCGGTTCGAGTTCGGTTCGAACTTCGAACCTTTCTTGAACTCAAGCCAAAGTTCGGTTCGAGTTCGGTTCGAATTTCGAACCGAACTCGAACTCGGGCAAAAGTCCAGTTCGGTTCGGTTCATAGGAACACTACTAAGAATATATAACTAGTCTTTCTAGTATTTTACAATAAGTATAAATAAATTTATATTTTATATTTTTATATTCTATTACAAATTAAAAAACTGATAAATTCTAAATTTAATTCTTTACTGGAGCTCAAACTTTTTAAAAAGAAAACAAATATTATAATAATAATATTAAATTCATTAATTTAATAATTTATGAAAATTATAAAAATTATATAAATGACTTATTGATTAACAAAGAAATTTTTTAGTTATTTTTTTGTATAATTATTCTATTTTATATTATTTTATTTTTTTATTTTATATTATTTTAATTTTATACTTTTTTATTTTATTTATTTATTGTTTTTATTAATTTAAAAATATATAAATATAAGTTATAGCTAAATTTTGACTTAATCTGTTAAAATTTGAGAATAAATAATATAGTAAAACAAATATTTTTTAATATTTAAACAATTTGTTTTCTTTTTTTAATTGTATACTTTAAAATTTGTAAACAAATAATTTTGAATTATATTAAGCTGATCAAAATATTAAATTGATATTTTGTTATAAATTAATTTTTTGATATTTTTATTATATTGAATTATTTGGAATTTCTCAACTAAAGATATTGGAATTTCTTAATCAAAGATATTGTAATCTCTTTTTTGTGATAAAAACAAAGTAAAAGTATCTTTATTATTTTATTTGTTTAGCTTTGGAATATTTAACAACTAGTATAAAGAATTAGAATATTAATTAGAACACTTTGTTTAATAAGTATAATTAATTAGAATACTATACAAAATTAAAAATTCAAATATCTTGTCTCTTTTTTATCTTATTTTCTTTTAAACTATAATAATTTCAGTAAAAATTGATATATATTTTTCTTATTTTTATATTTATTTAATTCTCTTTTTCAATTCTTGTTCATGTTTATTAGCTAATTTCACAATTAGTGAAAAATGTATAATTTTATTTTTCGTAGTCTTTATTTTTTTCTCATTTAGATAAAGACAAAATGCTATAATAAATACAATGCTTATGTTGCTGCTGTTTAAAATATGATATTTTCAATTTTCAGTTAAGATAAATTAACAAAATTTGATAATAATACTATTTCTATTTATTTAGAAAAATGGAAACAAAATAATAAGATACAATATATATATAATAAGCTCTTCAAAAATGATAAATATTATTAAATATTGATTATATAATCTTTAAACAGTATAAAGAAACATTATCAGTTATTTATTGCGCAATCATATTAACAATTAGCAATATTTTCTGAATTTAGCTAGTCCTGGCATAAAGTGCAAAAATAAATCAGTAGCTGAATGCATATATATATTTATAATAAATAATTCTTATAACTTTGTTTGAAATTTGATTAAAAATTTTGTTAATCAATTTTCCATTAGAAATTGAATTGCCAAAAAATAAATCGCTTGATCTCAATGTCCAGTGATCCGATCCATACACAAATTCTACATACGTAGATGTTCATGTAATATTAAGATCGTTATTATAATCAGTCCATCTCTTTGATTTGTAATAATTTCATTTTTTCTGGATTTTTTGCAAGCATTCGATTTTGAGAGCATTTGCAATGAAAAATAACTTGAGTAGTTTTTTTTAAATCGTATTTATCTTTATAACTAAAAAAATTGAATAATATAATTTTAACTTACATGTAATAATATCCGTCACTTTCACCTATCAAATTTGCTATTTTTTTGATATTTCTTGTGGCATACCTTCAATTTCAGCAAGAGAAATTTCACATTCAACTGATTCATTTTCTAAATGTTCATTTATACTAATTGTAGTGATTTCATTATATATCTGTTCTTTAATTTCTTTTAAAGGTAATAATTCTTTTTGATGATTAGATTTAATAGATGTCTTATAATAGGTAAAAGATCATTGATGACATGAAAAACACGACTTAAAATAATGATCACTTTCATTAATAAATTGATTTATATCAATATTTTTTGGCAGCTTTTGCATTTTCACGTATTTTTCATATTTGTATCAAATATATATTTCTTGTCTAATTTTATTATACATGTATTACTTAAATATTTTAATTTTTCTTCCCAAATCAATATTTCATAGTTGGATTTAATATATTTGCGCAGATCTCCA